TTTTACAGAAGGGATCAAACTGTAATTGTGTCCCTTTTGCTAAACTGTTGATCACTCATGTGTTTCTGATATATGGCAAGATGATTTGGTTTATCCACAGTTGATCAGGACACTTTCTTTGCAGCAAGAAGTAGCAATTCATGATCAACCTTTTAACTGTCTCCCCAAGTTGCTCACAAGAGCAAAATACATGGCCTAAGGGAAAGAGTCTGACTGGACAAAAAAAAACTTCCAGCAAATGGGATCTATGGACATAATCTTATCACATCAGGCTCAAATCCAGTATTTAATTAACATTTCCCTTCTGCAGCATCCATAAGGAATCTTACATATTCTCCTCTGCAAGGCTAGAACTCTCAATGTGGGAGGAAAGGGAAATTTGGGGACAGCATCTCACCCAACCGGCCATTTAGAGTATCAGGAGGATGGATGGAGTTTCTCACCATGTTTAAGCAACCCTGTGATGGGCTGACTCCCAGTTTTTTTGGACTGTTCCTGTCACAGAGAGAGATTTTACTCTAGCAGAGGATTTGGGTACAGAGAAGCCATTGGGACATTCCTTTCTGGGGATTGAACTGATATGCATGTGGATAGATTACTTCTAGGAGATTTAGTTTGATCTTTGATAACAGTAACTGTCCTGAGATGCTAAAAATACTTCAGCTTCAACATTTTGGTAAAAAGAGGTAAAGACAATTATTCCAATTTTAAAACAATGCCCTTTATTTCTTTCTCTTACCTGATTTCCCTGGCCAGAACTTCCAATACTTGTCTTCTGATGGTTTTCAAGAAGAATGCTTCCAGCTTTTGCCCATTCACTATGACGTTGGCTGTGGGTTTGTTATATATGGCTCTTGTTAGTTTGAGATATGTTCCTCCAATACCTAGTTTATTGAGAGTTTTTAACACGAAGGGATGTTGAATTTTATGCAAAGCCTTTTTTGCACCTATCAAGATAACCATATGGTTTTTGTCTTTAGTTCTGTTTATGTAATGAATCACATTTACTGATGAATCACATTTATTATTTGCTTATGTTGAACCAATCTTGTATTCCGGGGATGAAGCCTACTCGATTGTGATGGATAAGATTTTTATTATGCTGCTGGATTCGGTTTGCAAGTATATTGTTGAGGATTTTTGCATCAATTTTCATCAGGGGTTTTGGCTTGAAATTTTCTCTTTTTCTTGTATCTCTGCCAGGTTTTAATATCAGGATGATACTGGCCTTATAGAATGAGTTGGGGATGAGTTCTTTCTCCTCAACTTTTTGGAATAGTGTCTGTAGAAATGATACCAGCTCTTGTTTGTACATCTTCTAGAATTCAGCTGTAAATCTGTCTGATTCTGGGCTTTTTTTATTGGTAGGCTATTTATTACTGCCTCAATTTCAGAACTTGTTATTGGCCTGTTCAGGGATTAAATTTCTTCCTGGGTTAGTTTTGGAACGGCGTACGTGTCAGGAATCTCTCCATTTCTACAGCTGATTTGCATAGTGGTGTCTGTAATATTATTAACTCTTATTTGTATTTCTGTGAGGTCAGTGGTGGTATCCCCCTGTTGTTTCTGATTGTGTTTATTTGAACCTTCTCTCTTTTCTTCTTTATTAATCTATCTAGGAGTCTATCTATTTTACTAATTTTTTCAAATAACCAGGTCCTGGAGTCATTGATCTTTTGAATGGTTTTTCTGTCTGAATCTCCCTGAGTTCAGCTCTGATTTGGGGTATTTCTTATCTTCTGCTAGCTTTGAACTTTTGATTGTTCTTGGTTCTCTAGTTACTTTAGTTGTGATATTATGTCGCTAACTTGAGATCTTCCTAACTTTTGGATGTGGGCTTTAGTGCTGTAAATTTCCCTCTTAACACTGCCTTAGCTATGTCCCAGAGATTCTGGCATGTTTTACCTTTGTTTTCAGTCATTTCAAAGAGACTTCTACCTTAATTTTATCATTTACCCAAAAGTCATTCAGGTGCAGGATTCAATGTCCATGTAATTGTATGCTTTTGAGTGAATGTCTTAGTCTTGAGTTCTAATTTGATTGTACTGTGGTCTTAGAGACTGTTTATTTTTATTTCAGTTATTTTACATTTGCTGAGGAGTCTTTTACTTCTGATTATGTGATCAATTTAGAATAAGTGCCATGTGGCAATGAGCTATTGATATGTTTTGGCTGTGTCCCCACACAAATCTCATCTTGAATTTTAGTTCCCATAATCCTCTTGTGTCATGACAGGGAACTGGTGGGAGGTAATTGAATCATGGGGTGATTATCTTCATGCTGTTCTCATGCCTGTGACTGAGTTCTCACAACATCTGATGGTTTTATAAGGAGCTTCCCTACTTCATTCACTCTTCTTCCCGCTACCATGTGAAAAAGGATCTGTTTGCTTCCTCTTCTGCCATGATTGTAAGTTTTCTGAGGCTCCCCCCCCCTCCAATCCCTGTAGAACTGTGAGTAAATTAAACCTCTTTCCTTTGTAAATTACTGAGTCTCAGGCAGTTCTTTAGAGCAGCACAAGACTGTACTAATTCAGAAGTATATTCTGTTTCTTTGGGGTGGAGAGCTTTGTAGATGTTTATCAGGTCCATTTGATCCAGAGCTGAGTTCAGGTACTGAATATCTTGGTAAATTTTCTGTCATGATGATCTGTCAGTGAGGTGTTAAAATCTCTCACTATTATTGTGCAGGAGTCTAAGTCTCTTTGAAAGTCTCTAAGAACTTGCTTTACGAATCTGAGTGCTCCTGTGTTGGGTGTATATGTATTTAGGATAGGTTAGTCTCCCTGTTGAATTGAACCCTTTACCATTGTGTAATGCTCTTCTTTGTCTTTTTTTAAAATCTTGGTTTAAAGTCTGTTTTTTCAGAAACTGGTATTACAACACTTGCTTTTTTCTATTTTCCATTGGCTTGGTAGATTTTCCTCCATCTCTTTATTTTGAGTCTATATGTGTTTTTGCATGTGAGGTGGGTCTCTTGAAGACAGCATAGCAATTGGGTCTTGGTTTTTTTATCCAGCTTGCCATTATGCATCTTTTGATTAAGGCATTTAGCCCATTTACGTTTAAGGTTAGTAATGATATCCAGTCAACATGATAGCCGGTTATTTTGCAGACTTGTTTATGTGGTTTCTTTATAGTATCACTGGTTTGTGTACTTAAGTGTGTTTTTGTAGTAACTGGTAATGGTCTTTTCTTTCCATGTTTAGTGCATCCTTCAGGAGTTCTTGTAAGGCTGGTCTGGTGGTAATGAATTCCCTCAGCATGTGCTTGTCTGAAAAGGATCTAGAAAAATGGGATACATTTCAGGTGTTTTAACTATTCTTATTAAAACATCACAGCCAAATGCCTTCTTTCCTCTCCTTCATATGTAGGACCTACGTAAGGTAAGAGTTTGTCCTCCAGCTCAGCCATTTAATCATTTATATTGGTGAGAAGAGCAAATCACTCAGCCTTTTATCTTCTTATGACTTTTTGGAAGTCCACAAAGTTTGCTAAGTTTGGGAAAGACTACTTTAAAGCATTTCTCTTCAGTATTACTCCTGCAGCTACCCATCTAGTATCTTTTTAGCACAGGAGCAGATGGGCTAGAGAACCTGATAATGCAATTATTTCACATTCCCGTCTTCTCCTTCTCAATCATACAAATGCTGCTAAGGTTCTTGCTATCATGGGTCAAACACTACCAGGGTTTGCTGCTTAGTCTAGCCTACCTTGACAGATCATTTCTTTGCATAAATGAATATTTCTCTCAAGTGCCCAATAGCATCCCCAAAGATTCTATGATAGCTAAGAAAGCTTTGCATGCTCAGAGCACAAACAAAAACAAAACAAAAATTATTTCTGATATAGGAGCCAAGGAAATAGATGTTGTCATATATATATATATATATATATATATATATATATATGTACACACACACACACACCTATATATGTATAATGTATATAATATACATACATTATATATAAATTTTATCTTGTATATATGTATAATATATACATATATTGTGTATATATTTATATATGTATATATACACAATATATATGTATATACATATATACATATATAGTATATATGTGTATGTATACTATATATATATATATATATATATAACTCTTTTAAAGACAAAGGTTTACCAAACTTACCCTACTCAGTGTTTCATCAAATTTCTTTTCTTGGGTGTTTGCTCCATTCTTTTCTAAACCGCATAAGCTTCTTTAAAATCTTCAGGGTTTATTTCCTTTTCCATGAAAAAAAATTTTGTTAGATTCAAGCTGATTTAGAAAAGCAACAATGTTTCTTGTAGCACATGAAGGTAAAGTCTATGGTCTAAGCACGTGCAGTCTGTTTTTATTAGCATAATAATTTGATTATTTGGGGTATAGGAGTGACTAAAATTTGCATACTTCACAGAAATAAGACAAAGATAGCCAGTTAGGATGCACAAATTATTTTCCTCAAGTTCAATGGAGACAAGAATTATTTAAAAAAACAACAGCTAAATCAACGGACTAATGATCAGATGACAGGATGACAAAACATAAATATATGCTGGATTATCACTAGAGCCTTCAAGACATGTGGTCTTCCTCTTTTTATTTATATTTTTCTATTTTTTTGATAGTATGTGCAGGTAGACCAGCATGAACTTTCCTTTTAAAATATATATCACTTCCAGTATTTCAGTTTCCCCTAAACTTCAGACTCACTTTACAGGAGTAGCAACTTCATATGCTATTGAAAATAAAGAATATGAAAGGGGAACTCAGGAAAAGTGTGTAAGTTATAGAAATGTCTTACAATTTCTCAATAGATCAGTGTGGAAACTCACTTGTTAATCCTATTCATCTCCCCAAACGTATTGCATAGGACCTATAATTAGTACCTATTATAAACTGGCTTAACATTTAGTAAACACCTACTTACCAGAGATGGTGGGACATTTATTATAAGATGTCAAAGTTCAAAATTCTTCAGAAAGTACTTCCCGTTGACAGATGCACTTGTTGTTGAAGAAAAACATCCAACAAAGGAAGTTTAAAAGAACCCAGATGAATATTTTTTCAGATGGGCCACAAATAAGTTATAAATTCACCGTGTTCTACAACTTCCCAGAGCTGAGAAACTAAAGACAGTTCTACAATATCACATTTCAAAGGCGTCACAGGGCTTAGCTGCTAATGCAACAAAGTGGTATTTGTCTCAGGAAGCATACAACATCGTGAATAACATCGTCCTCAGGAAAGAATGAGCCAATAGGCACCATTTCATGTTGCAACGGAGCAGCCGGCTTGATTGTGAACGCAGATCTGCCCACTCCACTCAAGCTGACATTTTGTACAGACTAGAAGGCATATGTGGTATGAGATCAATAAAGAAGTAAACTAAAAGGCTCTTAAATGATTGTAAATGAAGCTGAGAACAAAAACTTAGATCTCAATAACCTATAGTTATGACTTTAGGGCTATGGTCTGTTAACATCTGCTTCTTGGGTAGGAATGTTTTTCTTTCAAAATAACAGTGCTACATGAATCAACAGCTTCCAAAGGAACTATTTCATGCCATCCAACCTTAGGTCTCAGACCTGCAAAAGCTCATTGATCTTTGGTGAAATCTCAGTTACATAAGTAGGAAGTTATTTTTAAAGCCACACCAGATGCTACGGTTCCTCCTCATTGCTCCCACATGGATGCACACTGTTTATTCAGAACTGAGCCAAAAGACCTGAAATAAGAAAGTTAAGTATGATTCCCTGACAAGCCGAGAAAGCAGAGTTGCGTGCTATGGATCTGTAAATATTTCTTTTAGTTTTATTATTTGGCTGATGGCTTTTGAGCTGGCCACACTTTCACACACACACACGCACACACACACACACGAACTCAGAGGTTTTCCTTAGGAGGCTCATGATTTTCCTTTTGGAACTGACAGCAGAATTTCTTCCTAATTTAAATCATTTTTATAGCCTCCTTAGAGAGACTAAAACATTAACAGATATATACAACCTTAGCTCATCATTTTGCCAGGAAAAAATGTAAAGCAGTCCATGTTCTCCGTCAGAAATAATCTTCGGTTATATAAAAATGGTATTTAATTTAGTCAAATTGGAACTCACAATAAAAGGAATTGTTATTGTCATGTTGTATCCATGATATGAAGAGGTTTTTTTATTATGTGTGTTTTTTTTTTTTCGGTAACTTGGGGTTCAAATTTGATCTCTAATAAAAGAAGCTAAAGAAATATTCAATTACCAGATCTCATTGAGAAGGTAAGTCTCTGACTATATATGGAGTTGTCAAAGATAAAATGTCAAAACCACATAGATTTGTCTCATACTTCTCCAGAGAATGTATTTATTCACTATTGTATCCTTAGTATCTAGAACAGTAGCTAGACAGTATTCAATAAATGAGTCAATAAACAAAGTTGCCAAAACAATCCAAATTTTTTTTGAGACATAGTCTCATTCTGTTGTCCGGCCTGGAGTACAGTGGAATGATCTTGGCCCATTACAATCTCTGCCTCCTGGATTCAAGCAATTCTCCTGCCTCAGCCTCCTGAGTAGCTGGGAGGCACGCACTACCATACCTGGATAAATCTTTTGTATTTTTAGTAAATATAGGGTTTCACCATATTGGCCAGGCTGGTCTCCAACTCCTGACCTTCTGATCCACCTGCCTTGGCCTCCCAAAGTGCTAGGATTACAAGCATAACACCATGCCAGGCCTCCAATCCTAATTTTTAAAGCCATAACTATTTCTCTTTTATTTCCTAATAAGTCGGGTGGTGAGTAACATTGCCTATGTAAATCATCAGTATTATCTCCCACTATAAAGTTTTATGTTATCTCACCTCTTACTCCCCAACATATACTTTATGATTAAAAAGCACTAGTTAGTACTGTTATTTACCACTTCCATGTAGAATTGTCAATAGTATCATATTTTCATGTAGAATTACCACTGTATTCATAAATAAGATTGACACACTCCTTTGCTTAAAACTTTGTGGTAATGCCTGTATACAGCTTAGAATAAACATCAACCTCTTTGCCAAGGCTTAAGAAGCCATACATGATTAAGCTTTTGTTTGTGTTTTGAACCTTTTCACCTACCATTTTTCTTTGGTCTATATACTGAACCACATTCCCACTTTAAGAATTCTGGCTTTCAGCCCTTCTACTGATAACAATTAGAAAGTTAAGTGGAAAAAAACCCTACTATTTGAAGTCACTAAACAGTGACAAAATTGTCATAAACTAAAAGGGAATCTGTCTTTGAAAGAAGGAAACCCCAATGGTGGAAATAAATATTTACATGCCTTTCCCCTGAGACATACTGCTCAGGATAGATTGAACTTAAAAAAAATTATCATCTTGAAAAATCAGATGAGAGATTTGGGGGTTGCCAAGTGGCTGGATATTAAGAGGGAGAAATTCTGGAAAGGAGAGTGTTACAGAAAGGAAAACCCCAAAAATCTATGTGTAACCCCCACTCAAACTAAACTGCCAACATGTAGGGTGAGACTCCAAGGAGCTTGCAGGAAGGCAGCAGTTAAACAATGGCTTTAGTGGATACACACTATAGGAGAGTCAAGATTTGGTAATTAGAGTGTTAGTAAGTTTGGCTAGATTACTATACACATCAGGATTTCTATTAAAATCCCAGAAGAACCACACTTTAGGATTAAAGACTACTATCCAAGACTAAGTGATTTAACAATTCAACTGCCTGATAGAAAAAACAATTACACTCTTCAGAGGAAGATCATTAAAAACTGAGTCTCTATTGTATCAATGCAATACCCAGTATGTAATCAAAAATGACTAGACATATGAACACTTAGAGAAAAATATGACCCATAATCAAAAGAGAAAGAATAGTTAATAGACTAAAACAAACCAGATCTTAGTATTAATAGACTCACACTGTAAACCTAACAAATATTTAAAAGAATCTAAAGGAAAATTGAATATAATGAGATTAGGAAATTTCAGGCTATATGTGGAAACTTAAAAAATGAACTAATAAGAAGTTTAAAACTGAAAACATTTTTAAAATTTTAAATTTAATTGACTTACAACACTGTCAACCCAACAAACATGTAAAAGAATCTAAATACAAAGTTGAATACTGTATAATGAGATTAGGAAATTTCAGAATATATGCAGAAACTGTTAAAAAATGAATAAATAAGTTTAAAAGTGAAAAAAATACATATCTAAAATTAAATAAAATTATTGGCTAAGATTCATAGTGGATTGGATGCAATAAAACATTAGTAAACTTGAAGATAGTCAAAATAAATTAGATATACTGAAGCACAAAGAAAGGCATGACTGAAAAAATAATGAGCAGAGTCTCTCATGAACTTGGGACAGCAGTATTCCAAGATGTACACTGAGAGCAGTGGGTTAACCTCGTGGCAGAAGGAAAGAATTAGGATCCTCTGATTATTAGGATGACAGCCCTTGTCTTCCTGAAAGTAGATGACTGTTCTAGCACTCACAACTAAAGCTTGTGTGCAGCGGAAATCAGGTCTGTCATGGGCAGAAGAGAGCCTAGCTAGACCTCACCTCAATTCCCACTCCTACTGACCGTTCTTTCAGCCCATAGGTCCATTGGTTTGACTTCTGCTTCTGCTCCTCTGACAGATATCTGGCTCAACTTGTTTTCATGCCACACTGAAATCCTGAAATTCACAGCCTCCTTTCTGAGCTCTGAGCAGTCTCATTGGTGTGGCCTGGCCTAGAAGATGGTAAAGTTGCAACCAGAGAGGCGACCACTTTTCAGAATCACAAATGGAGTGGAAGATAATACCTTCTCCTTGCCCTTTATCCCTTCTTGCCCCCTTCACTCAACACCACTGGTACTCTCTAACTAGCCTGGAGAAAGGAAATGTTTTTTGCTTTCTCTGTGATCTCTAACAAAATTACCAGGCCAGGAAAGAATTTGTTTATGTCCTGTACCTCTTCTCCTCTCCATTCTGTCTTTAGGATTCATTCTGTGGCTTCATTGTCAAAGGCAGAGGGGAAACTCCTCCATCCTACAAAAGAATGCTGCAAGTTTAACACCTGAGCTACTAAGAGCAAAAGGAGATAGAGGACATTGGGAAATCCTATCTTAAGACAGTTGACTATTATCAACTGTCTTATTTGGCAAGGCAGAATCTGACTGTATTGGTCAATTCTCATGCTTCCTCAGCTTATGGATATTGAGAGGGAGAAATTCTGGAAAGGAGGGTGTTACCCATACCCAGACTGGGTAATTTGTAAAGGAAAATGGTTTAATTGATTCACACTGAAACATGACTGGGAAGGCTTCAGGAAACTTACAATCAAGGCAGAAGAAGCAGCAAACATCTCCTTCACATGGCAGCAGGAAGGTGAAGTCCAGAAGGAAGGTGGGGAAAAGTTCCTGATAAAGCCGTCAGATCTCATGAGAACTCACTATCATGAGCACAGCATGGTGGGGCTGCCTCCATGATCTAATCACCTCCGACAAGATCCCTCCCCAACACGTGGGGATTACAATTCGGATTACAATTCAAGATGAGATGTGGGTGAGGACACAGAGCCAGACCATATCACTATTATTGGACTGCCAAAGATTACTAGCACAAAGGTGGAGGGAGGCAGGAAGAATGAGGGGGTATAAAATTCTTTTCAAAATACTATTACTCAATATTTTATTTTATTTATGACTATGCAATATGGACAGAGCTGTAATTTATAAATCCTTTTCAGGATAACTTTAATGGTTATATCAGTCTTGAGGCCCCTTGCATTTTAGACAAAGCTCATTATCACAGGATGATGCTACTGGGGAAGGGCACAGCTATGGTCATGAACCTTATGATACTGCTATATAAAAGTCACTCCTCTTTTTCCCCAACTCTGCATCTCTGTCACCATATCAAATGTAAGTTTCTCAGGATAAAAGCAAGAGTAATTTTCAGCCCTGAAATTTCCTAGTATATTATTTTCTCCAACTTTAATTCTCACCTCCTGAGGATGATTCTAAACTGTATTAGATTTCATTCACATCAAGCATTGAATTATGGATCAAATGATCACACTACATTATGATTATTTTTAATTCCCAGGCATGTGTTTATTATTGAAGGAATTCTCACTCTTCTTTTCAAAACATGTTCTCAAATGAATCTAGTGATAAATTTCCGAATTTATTTATGGTAATCAAAAAAAGAAGATTTAGCATAATGATTGATGGCATACTCATTTAGAGACAGATGTTCAGGGGATTTAATTCAAACAAGGAAAATTTTTAAACTTCTCCATTTTGAACACACACTCTCTCTCTCTCTCTTTTCACATATATATGGGCGAGGACATGATATATATATATTGCAGAACAATCCCCT